TCCTTGTATATGTACTAAGAAACTAAAAAATTCGTGTGGCTCTCTTTACTGAGATACTCACTTTACTGCAGAGGTCTGGAACCAAATGCAGTTATCTCTGCACAGTATCTCCAAGGATGCCTACTATACAATACTTAAGAGCAGAGATTTGTCTATTACAGCATAACTGATATTTTGTAACAGATAACTGTTCGTTGTGGGGGTCTGTTCTGTACATTGTAGGATGTTTCTCAGCATCTCTGTTCTCTACTCACTAGATGTCAGTAGATACCTCTACTTCCAATCATGATAATCAACAATCTTGCCAGATTCTGTCAAATGTCCCCAAGGCAGCAAAATCACACCTGGTTAATAAACACTGCTTTAGAGATAAAGCATAGGATAAAGACAAAATGATAGTACACAATTAGAATTATGTAGAATTATGTACAGAAAATTATAATTTTCTGAAATGACTCATAAACTGTGAATTTTAGTATCTTACACAATTTTTTTTTAATTCTTGGCCTTCACATCATTTCTATATATGTGCCTAGATACCCATATTGCTGTAATTTTCATATATTCTCAAAAGGATGACATTAAAAATTCACATTACTGTCAAAGCTCCACATTTCTTCTACACCCTCTCATAATTTACCCAAATTTACACTTTGCTTCTCCATGAGAAACTCTAAGATCTTCCATCTCAGCAATCTGAGTATGGTGAATAACTTCCAAACAAGAGAGCAAATTAAACATTCATGTGTCCATTAGAAAAAAATAAAGCCGGCCTAAGTAGAGGAAACACACTGAATGTTCATATATAGTTCTCCGTTTCTAAGGGGAAAGTTTCTATACAATTTAAATGCTAAAGAAAGTCCAGTTCAACCAATTTTAAGCAAACTCAAATTCTGCAATCAACGTGAAATGTGATTAACAGGCAGAAAAAGGTGTTGGGCTTCTGCAGTTACCTTGAGGTTAGTTCAACTAAGATATTTAAGATATATATTGGAAATAATAGGAAATAATAGGAGCTCTGGTAGCGTAGTGCCTAAGGCACTTGACTGCTAATCAGAAGGCTGGTGGTTCAAACCCACCAGCCACTCCTTGGGAGGAAGGTTGGGCAATCTACTTCTGTAGTAACACTGCCTTGGAAACCCAAGGAGGGGTCACTATGAGTCGGGTCCGACGCAAAAGCACGTAACAGCAACAACATTGGAAATAATAAATTAGTTTACTTAAGTATTAATTCTGTGAATGAATAAAAAATATGGCATATATATACACAATGGAATTCTATTCATCCAATGAGAGAAATGAAATCTTGATACCTGCTACAGTATGAATGGTGCTTGAAGACATTAGGCTGAACAAAATAAGCTAATTACACAAGGACAAATATTTTATGACCTCACATATACAAAGAGACAAGAAAAGGCAACTGTTTAGAGACCAATGTTATTAGTGGTTATCAAGGGCAGGGGAAAAAGTAGGCTTAATGGTGATGGAAAAATCACTTTGATTAAAATCACTGCCGATTACTGTAACAGCTATTATTAGCTGTACATCTGTTAAAGGTTGAATTGGCAAAAGTTGTGTGATATTATTTACAGTGACCAAAAAAACAATAGCTGCTAAAGCTGCTTATGTACAACCAAATACCACATGGGATTTGGTTTCTTAGTTTGGACGTTTAGGATCGTAGTTTCACGGGACATCCTAATTAATTGGCCTAGTAACTGTTTAGTGTTTCTGTTCTACCAACTAGTTTGTTGCATAGTGCCTGGGGTCTTAAAAGCTTGCAAGTGTACATCCAAGGCACAACAACTGGTCTCTATTCAACTGGACAACAGAAGAGAAGGAGAGTCAGGAATAGGAGGAGGATGGGGGAAACTACAGAACAGAATTTCAAATTCTCTTGCACTGTAGACTTTCTGGAGCCATGGAGAATGAATGAATCCCTGAACTATTGCCCTGAGGTAATCTTTAAGCCTTTAACCAAAACATACCCTGAAGTCTTCTCAAAACCAAGAACAGTTTAGCTTAACTAGTAAAAAAAAAAAAGGCTGCCTTGAATACTACATTCTTTGAGAACTATCTATATGGGATTAAGGGAGCTCTGGTAGCGTAGTGGCTAAGGCACCTAACTGCTAACCAGAAGGCTGGCGGGTCAAACCCACCAGCCACTCCTCGGAAGGAAGATGGGGCAATCTACTTCTGTAGTGATACTGCCTCAGAAACCCAAGGAGGGGTCACTGAGTCAGGTCCGACTCAACAGCACATAACAACAACAACATATGGGATTAATGAGACAACAAACAGCAACTTGAAAGAACCTCAGGGGGCAGCGAGTTTATGTTACTGAGGAAGGTATAACTCAGAAAAGGAGGGTGAGAATATTACACAACTCATAGAATGCAATCACTGTCACTAAATTGTACATGCAAAAACTGCTGAATTGCTATGTTTTGCTATGTATTCTCAACAAAATAAAATTTAAAGAAAAAAAGTACAATTCTGATACTTACCATCTAATTTCTGTCCTTCTGTAAAAGTCTCTAGAGCAGCAACATAGTTTTTTTCATGGTATTCACAGATCCTGTCATGAGATATTAAAAACAAATACCATAGGTACATGAGATAACAGAAACTAGCCTCCATTCTAAATTAAAAAAAAAAAATTCTATTACTGTTAAAAGAATTTATTTTTTTAAAGTATGTTAATACACCAAGAGATTGTATAAAATGCTGTACTGTAACTTCTAGTACTATTCCCATTAAAATTCAATTTTAGAACTAATTTCAGAACGAAATATATACCTGTTCATTCAAAAATGTAATTACACTAAGCAATTAAAAAGATTCTTACTTAAAGAATAAAGTCACACCTACCAACAGAAACAAGCTGGGATATAAAGTACACTTATAGGAAGTTCTCCTATCATTAAATATGGCCTATGCAGTTTGGTTAAGGATCAAGATATACTTTAATAAAATACATTAAATTCCAAATGATAAACAAAAAAAGGGATCTGAAATCCATCAGTTTCATCTATATCTTAAAGTTACTCAAATACACAATAATATATCACATACTTTAGTTAATACAATGATAAAATACAGAGTCTAATTAAAATTGAACCATACCTCAGCTATAAAAAGTATAAACACAGGATTTTACTATTTATATACAGCTTACAATAAATTCATTCAACAAATTAATCACCTACTATCTATAGTCCAGGCCCAACAAGAAGAGTGGTTATTGCATACCCTTTCCTCAGCATAGCAGTAGAATTATTTGGATTAAGTTTGAGAGATTTCTTCACATCAGCAACAGCATCTGTATAAAAGACGGGGATTTTTTTGTTAGTTATTTACAAATATAATACCAAAATTTGAATCATTCTTAGATTTTTTTAATTTTCAGGTTGATGGAGAGGCTAACTGGTTTTAAACTAGGTAAAACTAATCCCAAATACAATTCAAATAAATATTAATCTACTATGTAGCCTCCTTCTTAAAGCTCTTCCATGAACAAAGCTCTATGTCACAAAGTTCATTTCAATTTTTCATTAACATTGTTTATATAACTTGACTCAAGATATTTAATTTCTCCCTGCCAAGATTCTTTATCCAGAATCGTTTTTTACAGTTACACAATACAGAAATATTCTTTTTATATAAAATGCAAACAAGAGCTTTCATTTAAATACTTTGTAAAACAGTGTTAAATATAATATTTATTCCTTATTAGCATATCCAATCACTATGAATGGAATGTGTATAAATTCTCCTCCCACTGACGGAATAATGAAAATTTAAATGGGTGCCACTCAACAGTGTTTTGATCAGATTTCAGCTACTTCACCATGTGATGAAAGACGATGCTAAAAATCCTCTAAGATAATCTCTATTTCATTTACATTTTTAATCTTCGGCAGGATTTATAATTAACTTGTTTAAAAAAAAGACTATATTTTGTAAGAAAAGTTACCACAGTAACTTCCAAGAAGAATGTGACAATAAGCTCTTTGACAATAATACTGCGCATCATCTGGTTTCTGTTCCAAAGCCTTAGTCAGCTCCTACAAATACAAACGTGGTGTCAGTAAATACGTTTTTTAAACCCCATCAAGTTGTAATTAAACACTGTTTTTAATCATTAACCTATTATCATATGCTATTTGGAATAGAGGAGGGAAACAAGTTTGGGAGTTTTCCTTATAAGAGAATCACTATCTCATCCTCATTTCCCCTCCACCCGCCCCCCTTCCCAAAAAAACACCACAATCTAGTTTAATCTCTATGTAAAGCACTCTGCAGTTCCTGGCCTATAGTAGGAACCCCACAAATGGTAATTCTTACTTCAATTTGTTCTGAAGAATTTACTTCATATACATTGACTATCACAGATTTTCTCCATCTAATTTGGAGAAGACTCAGAGATGATGTAGAATTTGAGATGTCTAGAAAAATGTGAAGCTAATAAAAAATAAATAAAACCTAAAGTTAACTTTAGAGCACAGGGAGGTTAACAGAATCAATAAATACATTATCAAGCTAACCTGCCACTCTCCTATCCTCTCTCAATGACAGACAAGCCTAATAGATTACAGCATTTTATTGAGAGCCCAGTTACAATATAATCTCACAGATGGGTGCTGTTTTTAGATTCCATCAGTAAGCCCCAATTGATAGCAACCTGGTGCACAAGAGCAGACTGTTGTGACTGCTAGGGTTTTCACTGGCTAAATTTGGAAGCAGATCACCAGGCCTTTCTTCCCAGTCTTAGTCTGGAAGCTCTGTTGAAACTTCTTCAGCATCACAAAAACATGCAAGCCTCCAATGACAGATGGGTGGCAGCTGTACTTGAGCCCTGGCTGAGTTTTCTGCATGAAATACAAGAATTCTACCACTGGACCACCACTGCCCTCTGTATCTCTTAAGTAGCTACTATCAAGTTGATCAAGAGATTACACTTTTGCTACCCTGGCAGTCAGTTTGTGATAACTGGAACAATAATGATACAAGAAGAGAGCACACAATTAGTGATGCCAAGAGCAAATGCAGGCAACAGGAACACTGACTTGGTAGTTTTCTTAAAAGGTAAAATTACTTCAATAGCCACAAGTGTCATGGACTTTGTTTTAACCTAGCAGTGTGATTCTCAGAAAGCAATATATACCATACTTTCTAAGATTCAAAATATACCTAAAATCCAAATCACTCATGACCATTTGTATCCTATCACCCTGCTCCAAGCAGTCATGTAAATCAGATCCTGTTACTACGTCTCTGCTCAAAATTCTCCAATGTCTTCCCATCTCCCTCAGGACTGTGTATCTGCTGTTCCCTCTGACTAGAATGTTCTTCCCCTGTTTGTGTGCAGAACTAATTCTCTCACTTCTTAGTTAGTGAAAAGACTGTGTCAGAGACAGGATTCAAATCCAAAGCTGATTCCAAAGCTGCTTTTAACCACTATACAACACTGTCTCATGATTATGTTTATTTACTCCAAGTTTCTCTCACACATCATCTGCCATTTGCATTTATATAATGTTTTCTAATACTTTTGAACTCTGAAATTAAACAATAAAAAAATTCTTTATTTATCAAATACTGCCTAAGGCATCTGACTGCTAACCAGAAGGCTGGCAGTTCAAGCTCACCAGCCACTCGGAAGGAAGGTTAGGTAATCTACTTCTGTAGAGATACTGCCTTGGAAGCCCAAGGAGCGGTCGCTATGAGTCAGATCCAACTCGACAGGAGTGAATTTGATTTTCTGGTTTTGGTATGGGTCAGAAAGGATTTTATAAGTTTTAATACTAAAAGGTACCACAGGGAGGAACTGGGAAGAGAGCTGTTACATTAAGGGGACTGCAATCAATACTATGAAACAAAATGTGTACGAATTGCTGAAAGAAAAACAAATTTACTCTGCAAGCTTTCACCAACATTAAGATTAAAAAAAGTATTTGCAATGAAAGCAAAGAAGAATTTTATAGGGTATAATAATATCTAAATCATTAATTCAAAAAGTATGTCAAAATACATTATTATATAACAGAAATAGACCAAACACTGTGGATGCAAAGACAAATAAAACAATATTCCTTTTCTTAAGGAATACAATTAAACCTTCTGAATTTCAACCAATATGCAAAGAACTTTTAAAAACACAGTCCAACTGTTAGTTAGGAAGTCTAGTTCTAGTGATTCAGTTATATAAACTAAGCAACTGACTTCCACCATTGGTCTGTCAATTTGTCGTACTGTGATGGCTTGCAAGTTGCTATGATGATGGAAGTTTTACCACCGGTATTTCAAATCCCAGCAGAATCACCCATGGTGGATAGGTTTCAGCAGAGCTTCCAGATGAAGACACACTGAGGTGGAACAATGGGGCCATTCGCTTCTGAAAAAACTGGCCAATGAATATCTTATGAATCATAACAGTGAAACATTGTCTGATATGTTATTGGAAGACTTTATGAACAGCCCTGAAACACTGTCTGATATAGTCCTGGAAGAGAAGCCCCTCAGGCTGTAAAACACTCAAAATACAATTGGGAAAAAACTGCCTCCTCAAAGTAGAGTCAACCTTAATGATGCAAATGGAGTAAAGTTTTTGGGATCTTCATTTGCTGATGGGACACAACTCAAAATAGGAAGAAACAGCTGCAAACATCCATTGATAATCGGAATATGCAATGTAACAAGTATGAATCTAGGAAAATTGGAAGTCATCAAAAATGAAATAGAATGCATGAAGACTGATATCTTAAGCATCAGTGAGCTGAAATGGACTTGTGTTGGCCATTTTGAATAAGACAATCACATGGTCTACTATGCTGGGAATGAGAAATTGAAGAGGAATGACGTCACATTCATCATCATGGAAGATAGATCAGAAGGGCAGTATTTTCACAGGGAGATAGCTTAGAGGGCAGGAAAGAATAGGGAAGAACACCACCTGGAAAGGGTAACAACAGGGAGGAAGTGAGAAGAGAGCTATTACATTATGGGGACAGGAGTCAATGTCAGGAAACAAAATGTGTATGAGCTGCTTATGGAAAACAAATTTGTTCTATCACTTTTCACCAAAATCACAATTAAGAAAAAAGAATGCTTCAACATCCATTCTTAAGTACAATGCTGCCAGTGACAGGACTATAACCATACACATACAGGGAAGACCAGTTAATACTACTATTATTCAAATTTATGAACCAACCACTAAAGCCAGAAATGAAGAAACTGAAGATTTTTACCAAGCTGTGCAGTTTGAAATTGACCAAACATGTAATCAAATGTATTGATTATTACTGGTGACTGAAACGAGAAAGTTGTAAACAAATAGTATTGGTAGCTGGAAATATGGCCACGGTGATAGAAATTATGCTGGAAATCACATGACAAATTTTGCAATTGTTGTGTAATGACTTAATCATTGCAAATAACTTTCTCAACCACATAAACAGTGGCTATACACACGGACCTCGTCCAATGGGATACACAAGAATCAGACCGATTACATCGGTTAAAGAGGTGATGAAGAAGCTCAGTACAGTCAGTGAAAACAAGGCCAGGAGCGCTTTGTGGAACAGACCATTGATTGTTCATATGCAAATTCAAGCTGAAGCTAAAGAAAATTAAAGTAAGTCCACTAGAGCCAAAATATGACCTTGAATATATACCACCTGTTTTGGTTACCTAGTACTGCTCTGACAAGAATATATCACAAATGGGATAGCTTTAACAAACAGTTTATTCTTACAATTTGGAGGCTTTAAGTTCAAATTCAAAGTGCCAAGCTCTAGGGGCTTGGTGAAAGCCCCTCAACCTTGGCTTCAGCTCTACCTCCTGCTCCCAGCCCACTGAAGCTGGCTTTTCTTCACTTAGCTGCTGGCTGCTGAGGCCAACAAGCCCAAGGTTGACAAGTAAAAAGGCACAGTCCCAATGTTACCAAACCACACGGCAGGCCATTAATTCAAGTCCATTACAAGTCCCAAGATTGGCAAAGCAAGACGACAGGCTGTTGAACAACACCACAGCTACATGAAGGGTTCAAGTGTGCCATAAGCTAGAGACTGTTCTCCAACGCTTCTCCTTATATACAGGAAGCAGACCACATCCCTAAGACAGCTACTCAGCTGCTCACAGTAGATTCCACCATGGAGTTGATGACCAGTCTCTTCATGGGGAATACTACATCCAGCCACCCAGCCACTCAACCAGGCCCAGCCAAGTTGACACACAAACTTAACTACCACACCACCTGAATTTAGAGACCACTTGAAGAACAGATTTGATGCATAAGACACAATGACCAAAGACCAGAGAAGTTGTAGGATGACATCAAAAACATCATCCATGAAGAAACCAAAAGGTCATTAAAAAAACAGGAAAGAAAGAAAAGATCAAAATGGATGTCAGAAGAGACTCTGAAACTTGCTCCTGAATGGGAAGTACCTAAAGCAAATGGAAGAAATGACAAGATAAAAGAGCTGAACAGAATATTTCAAAGAGCAACCAAAAAGACAAAGTCAATCATTATAATAAAATGGGCAAAGACCTGAAGTTAGAAAACCAAAGGGAAGAACACTCATCACTTCTCAAGCTGAAAGAACTGAAGAAAAAATTCAAGCCTCAAGTTGCAGTACTGAAGGATTCCATGGGCGAAACACTGAATGATGTAGGAAGTATCAAAAGAAGATGGAAAGAATACAGTTATTTATCCAAAAGGATTTGGTCAGTGTTCAACCATTTCAGGAGGTGGCATATGATCAAGAACCAATGATACTGAAGGAAGAAGTTGAAGGTCCACAGAAGGAATTGGCAGGAAAAAAGGAAAGAAAAAAAAAGCTCTAGGAATTGACAGAATAACCACTGAGATGTTTCAAAAAATAGATGCAGCACTAAAAGTGCTTACTCATTTATGCCAAGAAATCTGGAAGACAGATACCAAGCCAACTGACTGAAAGTGATCACTATTTGTGCCCATTCCAAAAAAAGGTGATACAACAAAGCATGGAAATTATCAAATAATATCACTAATATTTCATGCAAGTAAAATTTTGCTTAAGATAATTCAAAAACGTTTGCAGCAATTTATGTACAGGGGACTTCCAGAGATTCAAGCTGGATTCAGAAGAGGACATGGAGCAAGGGTTATCATTGCTAATGTCAGATGGACACTGGCTCATGTTTACTTGTGTCTTATGGACTATGCAAAGCATTAGACTGCAGATTTTTAACAAATTATAGGTAACAGTGCAAAGAACGAGAATTCCAGAACACTTAATTGTGCTCATGAGGAACCTGTACATAGACCAACCTGTTATTCCAACAGAATAAGGGAATACTGCACAAGAAAGATGTGCATCCGAGTTGTAACCTTTCACCATACTTTATCTAATCTGTATGCTGAGCAAATAATCCAAGAAGTTGGACTATATGAAGAAGAATGCAGCATCAGGATGAGAGGAAGACTTAGTAACAACCTGCTATATGCAAATGACACAACCTTGCTTGCAGAAAGTGAAGAGGACTTGAAGCCCTTACTGATGAAGATCAAAGACTACTATCTTCAGTATAGATTATACCACAACATAAAGAAAACAAAAATCCTCACAACTGGACCAAAAAGCAACATCACAATAAATGGAGAACAGACTGAAGTTGTCAGGGATTTCATTTTACTTGGATCCACAATCAACATCCATGGAAGCAGCAGTCAAGAAATCAGACACCATATTATACTGGGCAAATCCATTGCAAAAAAAAACCTCTTCAAAGTTAAGAAGCAAAATTAAGAAGCAAAAATGTTACTTTGAAGACTACAGTGTGCCTAACCCAAGCCATGGTCTTTTCAATTGCCTCATATGCATGTGAAAGCTGAACAGTGAACAAGGAAGACCAAAGAAGAGTTGATGCTTTTTCAGTTGTGGTGTAGGCAGAGAATACTAAAAGTACCATGCACCGCCAGAATAAAGTTGTTCTAAAAGTGCAGCCAGAATGGTCCTTGGAAGTGAGAATAGCCAGACTTTATCTCACCAACTTTGGTCATGTTGTCAGAAAGGGACCAGTCCCTGGAGAAGGATGTCATGTTTGGTAAAGTGGAGGGTCAGCAAAAAAGGGGAAGACCTTCAACAAGATGGACTGACACAGTGGCTGCAACAATGGACTCAAGCAGATTGTGAGGATGGTGCACAACTAGGCAGTGTTTCATTCTCTTTTATATAAGGTTGCTATGAGTCAGAACCAACTCGATGACACCTAATAACAACTACGACAAGCAACTGACTTAAAAAAGTTATCAAAACATACTGAGCACAAATTATAAACATCATTGGGGCCACTATAGTGGCTGCTGTGGTCTGTGGAGGTGTGGTTGATGGTATTGCTTCCAGACCTGCTGTTCTTCAGGAAGCCCTAGGTATCAGCCTATGGCATCCTGCTCAGTGTCCACACAACAGGGTTTACACCATTAACAAATGCAATCTGTTGGAGAATGGCATGGGCAAAGTGGCCCACACTGTTACTGTGACATCATGGAGCATGTATACTGCTTTGGAGGGATATCCTAAATATAACAAGAAATGTGCTCCCGGCCTTCTAGACAGTTGAACAGAATCAACAGACTAACACCACTACTCCAACGGCAAAGCACAATCTGGAAATACAGAAGTTTGTAATCTACGATACCAGAAAAGGCCAGGACCTGCAGATAAAAATAGGTAGTATCTTCTAAAAGGGAGCTCTGGTGGCACAGTGCCTAAGGCAT